TTCAATTCTGACAGTAACCAAAACTAAACAGTTTGAGAACAATGTTAGTATGTGCAAACTTTTATTTGTTGACCTATTGACCGACTCACTGAATCTTAAGCAAAAATATTCTAATATTTTATTTTATTTATTAAACTTAAATGCCAGCCATCTTGCCTAGAGGCAGCTGCAGTTTAATAAAATAAAATATTAAAACAGTAAATATTAACACTAAAATTGATATAGAAAATGAAAAAGATGAGTAGGAAGGAAACTAGATGCTATGGTGAGGAGTTGGGGTCTTGTCTTAACTCATTAACCATCTCCAGAATGACATGCTCTCATTGGGGAGCCTGGGCAGCTGGCAGAGGCAGATCTTCAAACTTTTTCAGAAAGCCAGAAGGGTGGGTGCAGATCTCACCTAGGGGGTCACAATACTAGAGAGGTATAAATGATGAACTGAAAATAATTCAACGTAAAGTTAGTTCTTAACTTTCCACCGGTTGCTTAGCAGCTGTTCAAAGTTACAGCAAACCATCCAAAAGCTACTGACACCCCAGTTCCAAAGTTATAGCCGCTGCAGTACCCTACAGTCATTCATTCTTATGACTGAATATAGAGACATTGCAGGAGTCCCCCTGTTTACATCCTCACCCTGGGTCCCGGGGGGCCTGCTTCCCATCCCATGCCTCACACCCTCTTCATTTACTCTTTGAAAATCTCCAGCGCTTGGGTGATGAAAGAAGAGAGGCTGCTCTGTTCCTGGCCTGCGTGGTGTGATCCCAGAAGCATCCACCATTTTCTGGTCAGCTGCACTGAATTGTGGCTACCCTAAAAATAGTGGCCACTTCCGGGATTGTGCCACGTGGCCCAGGAACGAATAGGCTTGTTCTGCTTATTTTACATGAAGTCTGACCCAATGCGGAGCTTTCTAAAACTTGTATTAGAGAAACAGAACAAGCCTCTTTGCACCTGGGCCATGTAGTGTGTGATCCCAGAAGTAGCTGCCATTTACAGAGCCTCCACAGTTCAATGAGGCTGGCCAGAAAATAGTGTCCACTTCTAGGATCAAACCACATTGTCCAGTCCTAGGCTGCATTAATACAGGGATAGAATCAAGATCATGTCGAGTGTCAATACCATTTTATAATGCCTTGGTAAAACCACACTTGGAATATTGCTTCCAGTTTGGGTCGCCACGATATAAAAAATATGTTGAGACTCCAGAAAGAGTGCAGAGAAGAGCAAGAAATATGATTAGAGGGCTGAAGGCTAAAACATATGAAGAATAGTTGCAAGAATCGGGTATGTCTAGTTTAATGAAAAGAAGGACTAGGGATGAAGTGATAGTGTTTCAATATCTAAGAGGTTGCCATAAAGAAGAGAGGGTCAATCTATTCTCCAAAGGCAAGGCAAGAAGCAATGGATGGAAACTAATCAAGGAGAGAATCAACTTAGAACTAAGAAGGAATTTCCTGACAGTTGGAACAATTAGTCAGTGGAACGACTTGCCTCAAGAAGTTGTGGATGCTTCGACACTGGAGGTTTTTAAGAAGAGATTGGACAACCATTTGTCTGAAGTGGTTTAGGGTTTCCAGCTTGAGCAGGTTAGATTAGAAGGTCCCTTCCAATTCTTTTATTCTGAATGAAGAGGCTTGTTCTGCTTCCCTAATGCAAGTTCTGGAAAGTTCCCTGCCCATCATAATTCTCTGGAACTCATTTTTAAAGAAGCAGAGCAAACCACTCCATTCCTAGGCTGTGTGGTGTGATCCCAGAAGCGACCATCATTTTCAGAGCACCCACAATTTAATGTGGCTGTCCTAAGCTGCTTTCAGGATTGTGCCACATGGTCCAGGAACAGAGCTGCCTACCCTCCTTCCTCCTCCTAAATCAAGCTCGAGAAATCTTTGAAAGGTAAGCGCACAATGGATGACATGGGGTGAAAAGGGTGTGGGGCAAGGTGGGGCATTAAGTAGACACAAAGCGTGCAGGAATCCCAAGGGATGGGAAGTGGCACACTGAGTGCCTAAGGGGATTGGGGGGGGGAGGGAAGAGTTTTGGGAGGCCCAGCGTAGGACATGTGCTAGGCCTCCTAGGGGCTCCTCATGGTCCCTTAGGGACCCTGTGCTTCACTAAACAACCTGCACATTCATTTAATGGCTGCATTGGGAAAAAAAAGAACAGGGCTCTGTAAACGAGGCGATCGCATAGGCACTTCATTTAATGACACTCGTGACTTCTGAATGTAATGAGTAGATTCCATTATAGTCTTCGGTTGAGGAATACCTGTATTATTTCTGCATGTTCCTTTCAAGCAATGTTCTTTGTTGTGTGCAGTTCTTCGTTTGTGTATCATGTCTGCATATCCCATAAGAAATGCACTTGATGTATATGTGCTTTGCAGGTGCAAAGCAAATAAATTAATAGAGAATGTATACAACAATCATTTCAAAAGTTAACTATGTCATTTGAAATATGTTTGCTAGGTCTCGGTATTTTATTAAGCATAACTTGTAGACAATTTGATAATTTAATAAGAAGCCAGATTTTGAAACTAATAACTGATATATTCCATATGTATCAACTTCATATCCTACTCTACGTATACAAATAGAAGATTGCATTTCAAACCTGTTGTCCATCTTTGATGCCAAGCTTGCCTGCTAATTGTCTGTTTATTTCAACAATATTTTCTTCTGTTTGACGATAATGTCTGATTTCCATCCAACCCAAGAATACTGGTTGATTCCCCCAAGAAGCTTTCACAATTTGATCCTATGAATTTAAAAAATAAATACATTTATATTAAACGAACAGGGGATATTTCATGTAAGTGGATAAATAGATACATATAGACCAGATCCAAGCAAGAGTAGGATTTTTTATTTTTGTAAAATTAAAGTGTTCTGGTCTGATAAATTTAATCTTTCCAGATATTGAGGAATTCATTTAGGTATCAATTTGAGGGCTCCAATCAAATTGGTATAACAATAGATTGCTTTTTCCATAAGTGTTCAAATTTGATCTGTAAATCGTGGATTTTGTAATTTCCCCCATTGTTTTTCCTCAATCCTAGCATCACCTAGAATAGCAACGTCAAAGAATCAGACTCTTTTCTTTTCAATAACTATTTTATCAGGCATATATCAACAAGATGCAGGTCAATTTGGACCCTAAAGTCCCATAAGACCTTAACCCACTTATTATTCTTAGTATTTTATCCTGGCTTTTTAACCTATAATTCAAACATATCAAACATAAAACACCTTCCTCCTCTGATTTTTCTTGCAACAGCAACATTATGGCAGTTGGTTAGGCTAAGAATGACTGGCTCAATCCATCCATCCATCCATCCCTCTATTTATAAAATACTCCGGGTTTGAGTTTTATATTTTATTTTATTATTTTTAATGTATTTTTCCTGCTTTTATGAGTTAATAGAAGTCATGCTGCTCATTTTTCAGCCTTGCATATATGCACAAATACTACATCATATAGTATTGCACCTGCACATTTTTAAGTCTTGGAAGTGCAAGTAATACATCACATTTTGCTAACAACCCCGTGTGGTTTCAGGTTTCTTAATTTTGGCTTTCTCAGCTTCAACCTTTAGAAGATCAGTTCTGATTGTCAGTGATCTGGAAAGGAGCAGCCTTTTGGAAGGTCCAAAGACTTGGCTCTTCCCATAAGAACTGAATTAGGGTAGGGTTGAATCAGAGTGTCAATAGTTTGATGGCCTGGAATTTGGTAATTTCAGTTTTAGCTCTTAGCTCCCCTCCCCTCCAATAATTATTACACTGCCCTAAGGTACCATATCATGGATATTATAAGGTATTTTTCCAAATGATAAAAAAAACCTAGTTCTTAACAGTGTTTACCACACTGAGGGGGGAAAACCCACAGGTCTAACAGAAAAAAAAAAAAAGATAAAGTATACTATATCAGATTTAAAAACTCCTATTACTTTAATAACTGCAGAAAGTTGCAATTGATTTCAGATCATTCTCAATACTGCAATGCTTGAAAAATATAGCAATGAAACACCTCTTTCCCCTTCATGACATTCGGTGCCATATGCCAGTAATCCCCAGTGGGCGGCAGCACCTACTATTGGCAAATTTCGAAAACAAAATGCCCAGCAAGATCAGATGAATGCTTAGCTGGGAGAGCACCAAGATATCCTATGTCGGGTGATATCTGAACATCTTCAGAAAAAGACAAATAACCTATCATTTCTGTAGTGTGGCCAAGAAACCTCCACAAAGCACAGTCTGCAAATCTCTTTTTCGTCTGGAGCAAATAACTTGCTTTTACTTAGCATGGCTAATGAAGAGGATAATGGTCTCCTGCTTGAGCAGGGGGTTGGATGAGAAGATGTCCAAGGTCCGGTCTCTTATTCTGATAAGTTAGCCTTTTGATACTATCCGGAGGCAGGCAAGAGTCCCTTTCCATGGAAGGTGCCAACAGCCCCATACTTGAATATGGAAAGATGTTGATAAGATAAAGTATGCTGTGACTGTGAATGAACAGTTCAACCTCAGTAATCATGGGACACAGAACGAATGGAGGTCGGTAGACACCTTCCTGAATTCCTTATACCTGCTGCAGTCCGAGATAAGAAACCAGCCCAGGCGGCAAGTGCAGAAAGCAGTTCTTGACGCCGCTCAAGGAGACTCTCGCCGCGGCTATTCCGAATCCTCCTGCCCCCAACATCACCGCCGACCCTACGGCCACCTACGGCCAGGTACCCCAATCAGCCACCTTAAAAGAAGACAAAACTACAGAAAGTCGCGACTCTTGACCGTCATCAGACTGGCGGTAGTATTTGTTCCGGCTTCCGGCTAGCCCTAACGGTCATTGGAAGCCCAGCCGTTTTTCTCTGCTGTGATTGGATAAAATGCCCACGGCTCCGCCTCGTTCCCTCGCCGGGTTCTTCGTCGATTTCTTTCCGCCTTTCCTTGGAGCGGGGGCGGGGGCGGGGAGGAGGACTTGGATGACGTTTTGAAGAAGCGACAAGAGATCACGGAAGTGAAGATGGCGGCGGTTGATGCTGGCGACGAGGGGGAGGTCGGTGGCGTCTGCCAGCATCACGCGCAGCAGACGATCTGCGCCTCGCGCGCCAAGTATCGTGAAGGGCGCAGGCCACGAGCGGTGAAGGTAAGAGAGAAAAAAGTTCTCCCTTGAGCCATTTCCTCGTCTTTTCAAACCGGGGTTTGAAACCTGGTTTGTATCTCGGATACAAATACTTTGTTGAGATCTCCCTAAGAAGCCTACAAGCCGGATAAAAGGCAAATCTGTCCTTCCTTCCCTCCCTCCTCCCCTTTTTGTTTACACATAACAGTCGCAGCACCTAAACAGAGAATAGAATAGAATAGAATAGAATAGAATAGAATAGAATAGAATAATAAAATAAAATAAAATAATAAAATGTAATAAAATATAATATAATAAAATATAATATAATAAAATATAATATAATAAAATAAAATAATAAAATACAATAAATAAAATAAAATAAAATAATAATACAGTTGGGAAAGGACCTTGGAGGACTTCTAGTCCAACCCCCTGCTCAAACAGGAGACCTTATAACAGGGGTCCCCAAACTTGGCAGCTTTAAGACTTGTGGACTTCAACTATGCTGGCTGGAGAATTCTGGGAGTTGGAAGTCCGCAAGTCTTAAAGCTGCCAAGTTTGGGGACCCCTGCCTTAAAACATTTCAGACAATGTGGAAGGTCCAATCTCTTCTTTAAAAAACTCCAGTGATGGAGCAGGCATAATTTATGAAGGCAAGCTGGTCCACTGATTAATGTTCTCACTGTCAGGAAATTTCTCCTTATTTCTAGCTTGGATCTCTGCTTGATAGCTTTCCATCTGTTACTTTTTGTTCTGCCCTCAGGTGCTTCGGAGAATAGGTTGATCCCCTCTTCTTTGTGATTTTGTGGATATTGGAACACTGCTATCATGTCACCTCTAGTTCTCTTCATTAGACTGGCATACCCAGTTCCTGCAAGTGTTCTTCATGTGTTTTAGTCTCCAATCTCCTAATCATCTTTGTTGCTCTTCTCTGCACTCTTTCTAGTATGTCATCATCTTTTTTTGTTTCATGGCGACCACAGCTGGATGCAGTATTTCAAGTGTGGCCTTACCAAGGCATTATAGCTGTAGTAACACTTCATATGATCTTGTTTCTATCTCGCTATTAATGCAGCCCAGGACTGCACTGCCTTTTTTGGCAGCTGTAGCATACTGCTCAGGGTGAATAACAATCCATGTTTTTTCTAAATTTTTATCAAATTTATTTTAATAAAATGCTTTTGGAGTAAAAAATCTATCTAAAGATAGTTTTCTATTTAAGATACATTAATAATTTAATTTATTCAGCATGAAATGGAGCTTAGTTATGTAGCATGAGGCTGTATATTCTGCAATATTTACATTTTTGGTAAACTCAATGAATCCAAGCTCTGCAAGGTAAATAGGAAACCTTCATTTTGTTTGCAAATAATAATATTAAAGATTCTGACTACCAGCAAGAATGAGTCCTTACATTTAAAGAGCACCTGTCATTTCAGATCCGTCATGGCAGCACCTGTTAGTGAATATCCACACACCTTCTGCCTGCCACATCCCTCGCCTTGTGTCACTGCCGCATCACCAGTCATCCCATTAAAGTGAATGGGACTGTTGGTGAGTCAACAGCGGGTCAGAGATGACAGTTGTTTTTTAAAAATTATGATTTAAATCGAGTTTATTTAAATTAAATCCACCCTGCTAGTTCATATTTAAGTGGTTGTCCACCAGGACTCCTAGATCCCTCACAGTTGTTATTAAGGTATTGCCTAGTCTCTGTGCATTTGGATTGTGTAAAACCTTACTTTTCTCACCACTGAACAGCATTTTGTTGGATAGGATCCAGTGTTCAAGGCTGTCTTGAGCCTATCTTCTAAAGTAGCAGTCCCTAATCTTTTTGCCACCAAGGATTGGTTTCATGGAACATATTTTTTTAGGGAATGGAAGGGGAGGAGGACCATGCAGCCTAGATCCTTAGCATGCAGTTTCATGGGTTGGAGACCCCTGTTCTAAAGTGTTGGCTATTCCCACCAACTTGGTATCATTTGCAAATTTGATGAATTCACTTTGTACCCCTTCATGTAAGTTGTTTATGAAATTGTTGAAGAGTACTGGGACGAAGACAGAATCTTGAGGTTCCTTACTGCATATTTCCCCCCATGTAGATGCAGTTGCATTAAGAACTATACGTTGTGTGCAGTTGATCAGCTAATTATAATACCACTGGTGGTGATGCTTATTCCACAATTTTCTGTTTTACCAAATAGTAGTTGTGGTCCGCTTTGTCAAATGCCTTATTGAATCTAAGTATCCTCTGAAAATGGAAGTTGTGTTTAGCTGTTACATCTGTTGTTTCCTGATAAGACATTTGTCAGTTTGCTTTTTAAACCATCATGCATAATTTTTGGGACCTCTTCAGGGATTAGATCCTTCTTGAATTGTGCCAGTTTACTGACCCAAATAGAAGCAGTAGTCTTTGGAGTGGTCAAATGTATCTCCAGTTTTACCACTTTAATTTTCACAATGCTTCCTATCTTGTGAAATTTATACTGTATGTTAATGTCCAAGGAAAATTTGAACAATAATTTCCAGTGTTGTGACCATGCTGTAAACCATGGTTGTTGCTCGTCTGATGAGAACACTTGTTTCTCTTGAATAATATAGTTTTTGAAGTATCCAAGATACAATAGTAGCTAATCGTATTTTGCCCAAATGCTATGAGTAACCAGTTAGAATCCTTGCTATAATACAGTTATTACTGATATGTTTCTTCCTATACTGTATGTCTTGGCAATCTTTAATTTCTGAACTTGGTTCTATTCTTTTACCCACTATTTACGATGTTTTTTCCACTAACTTAAATGTTCATTTTACATGATATTAGTTTCCTTTTTCCCTTTACTTGTTTGGTTTTTTTTTACTCTATAACTTGTATTGTTACTTTTATTTGGTCTCACAGTATTAATAAAGTTTAATGCATCAAAAATATGATTGCTTAGGTTTATTCATCAAATTAAGCCATTACCAAACAAGATATACATATAGTCCTCAATTAACAACATTTGTATAGCAACCACTCCAAGTTATAACAGCTCTGAAAAATGTTGCTTATGACTGACCGGTCCTCATCATTATAACCATCATAGCATCCCCACAGGCACATAATCCAAATTTGGTTGCTTGGTAACTGGCATGTATTTATGATAGTTGCTTCATTCAAGGATCATGTGATTGCCATTTGCGACCTTCCCAGCCAGCTTCTGACAAGAAAGTCAATAGGGGAAGCCAGGTTTGCATTAACGACCACATGATTCATTTAACAACTTCAGCATTAACAACAACTTCAGCATATAACAAGATCATAAAATCAGGTGCAATTCACTTAAAAACTGCCTTACTTAGCAATGGAAATTCTGGTCCCAATTGTGCTTACAGGTAGAGGACTACCACGGATGAACTTGATCACTTACGCTAAAATATCTCACATTTGACACATTCTTTTAAAATTATTATACTGTATTACTATAAACAATTAATTTTAAAATAGAACAGCTCAGTTACATATATTAAAGTGTTATTAAAGTGATTTTGTTTTTCAGGTTTACACTGTCAATTTAGAGTCTCGATATTTGTTAATCCAAGGTGTTCCTGCATTGGGAGTTATGAAGGAGCTAATTGAACTTTTTGCATTATATGGTACTATCGAGGAATATAATCCACTGGATGGTTATCCAGCAGAAGAATTTACTGAAGTGTATTTGATCAAGTTTTTAAAAATACCAAGTGCGAGGTAATAACTATTGCTTTTGTTCTGCCTAGAATCCCTACTTGTTTGATATTGAAATATCTTTCATATATCAGTTTTATGTAAACCACAACAGTTATTTTTATATTGTGTAAACTTAACTTACTGGATTTAAAGAGAACTTAACTTCAACAAGATTGAGTTGTCTTTAACATTGTGTATCACACTTCCTCTCTTTTAGGGCAGCCAAAAGAAAACTGGATGAGCGGAGTTTCTTTGGCAGTTTGCTACATATATGCTATGCTCCAGAATTTGAGAGTGTACAAGAGACCAGAGACAAACTAAGAGACAGACGAAAATATATAGCAAAAGCAACCAACTTCAGTGGTTTGTGGCTTTATTTTAAATCAATAAAAGGCAAAACAACTTTTGTAATCCCCCCCCAATCCAATATTAATTCGCCAAAGTTGTTATCAGAAATCAAACTCAATTCAATGAGGACTTTACACTTACTGTTTGAAAAATTATATTCTTTCTTTTTATATCTTGCATTATTCCAAATCTAAATTGCTTGGTATGGAACAAACAAAAAACACAGAGTGTCTGCAGAATTTACTTTGAATTACGATGTAATTAATTTTCTTAATTTCAATTTCAATTTATTTTCAATTTCATTTAAATTGTTTTGCTTATTATTCCATTGTACATTTTTGCACAAGTCCAAAAAACATCAGAATGATGGACATTTATGTAATTTATTAGAATATTCCAATTCTCTGAAAATGCATATAGAATCATCACATCCTAAGCATACCAGAACAATGCTTTGGAGGGAATTTTTCTGTAACAGTCAGCTAATACATTAAAACATTTTTTCTCACTGCTCATCAAATAAATCCTGTTCTCTGTTTTCTACCATGGTAAATTGTTAACTAAATAAAAATTCACTTCAAAAATGCCTTTTTTACTGTTCACTAACTTAACACATTATTTTTTTGTGTTTTGAGAGCAATCACTGGAGACAAAACAGGATCGTGGTATACGTTCTTCAAAAATCATGCCATTGGATCATGGATCATGGACATCTAAAACAGCCATTAACAAATGGAATCCAGCAACATATACACAAGACCCCTGTCAATCTTCCTGTTGCACATTATTACTGAAGGATATTACATCTCCTGCAGAACAGCATTGCCAGAATATGTTAGTAGCACCTCATTATTCTCATCACTATGCTACAACATCTGCATGCTTTAGCCAAAAGATAAGAATGGATAAGAAGCCACAGCAAAGAGAGCATGACACATTGGCCTGCTGGAACCTAGAAAAAAAGGTTCCATGTTATGAAGGTCTTGGAAGATTCATGCCTCGAACTACTCAACTTCAGGAACGAAAGAGGAGAAGAGATGAAGACAATAAACTTGCCCTTTTGGGAAGAGAGCCTAATGGTGAAGAAATTATTTTTGGTCCAAGGCTACCAGAAATACCTAAAATAGATCTGGATGATGATTCACTGAACACCTCGGCAATCTTAATTCGCAATAGACTAAAAAAGGTGGGCCAATAATTTTTCATTAAATGCTCTGAAAATACGTAGTTCTAACATCATTTAGAATTTGTATATATTAATTATTTTGCAGTAGCTTAATTCCTGCTATTCCATTATGGATGCATATAATATACTAAGTTTAGGTTTCTTTTTTTAACTAGATTGCTGATCCAGTTCAAACTTCAAACTCATCTGAAGAATTATTAGTGGAAAATCAAGCAACACCAATAATAAAGCAGAGGCGGCGAATATAAGTATGATTGCATGTTACATTTATATTTGATGCACAAACAGGTAGGCTCTGACTGTTTCTAGACAAAGAAGTATGGCTTCCTTTGTTAACGTGAAACAGTTCTTGTAAATTTAAAGTTATTAATCCATTATGTTGAAATTTATTGATGGCTATGAATGTTATCACCTTATTTCTTGTGCTCCTAATGCTATCCTATGATGCAATGCATTGGGTCTATCCAGCTATATTACATTTCATTCATTATATTTTACTTGCAGATCTACAATTCAGGAGCATCTTGGAAAGCTTGTGACTCAAAGGACATCCTGCACTGTAAAGGAAATAATAAACATTTAAAAAAAAAACAAAACTATAACAAACTTACATCCATAGAACAATGCTTACACTTTTGGCAAATATGGTTCAAAATTAGGTCCAATACCCCACTTTTAAGTGGCAAATTTTAAGAGCCTGTTTGGTGTCACCATTAAAATACTGGCCTAGAAACCAAGACACTCATGAGTTTTAAGTCTGCTTTAGGTATGAATGATGGTTGGGCCAATCATTTCTCTAGGCCAGTCACTCTCAGCCCAACCTCCCTCACAGGGTTGAAGCTGTGGGGAAAATACAAGGCAGGAATATTAGGTATATTTTCCCCCTTGTATTTTATACAAAGAGATGTAAAGATAATTCCATTATGTCGTGATTTATTGAAATTATTTGCCAAATTTCTGCTTTTTGAGAAATAAAAGATAAAAGATTTCCCTAAGTACATGAAGCTAGTTGCATCATTCTCTGGGTCTTTATTGTACATCAATATTTTCATTTCATATAATACTTTGTTCCATTATCAAATAGTCCATAAATATAAAGACATTTATTTTGAAACACTTTGGTTTACAGAAATACATGTGGTTAGGAAGTTTATATAACAACTAGACATTAATATATCTGCAGGAAAATGTTTTTTAATTGCATTAATTGAAATTGGGCTAAAGTTATTTTACATCGGGGAAGACTTCAGTTAAAGCATGCTGTAATACAATTGGCTTGCTTCATGATCAGCATTAAAAGTCTCACAATATTCACATATATAATGATTTTGGTTAGCTTCATTCAGTGACCACTCAAAAAAAGCAGTTTAATAACTTTAGTTTTGTATTTAGAACATTTAGTTCAAATCTAGAATAGGAATACAATTACTAATAAAATTACTAATTAATTATTAATATACTTTGATATAGACTTCACAAATACCTTCATATCAGGCAAACATGGTCCAAATGCTTCTAAGAGGAGATTTTCTTCTCTTACTGCCTTTTCAAAATCCACAAAAGAGACTTTGCCATCGTGATCATAGTCCTATGAAATAAGATATTTACCCCATATAATCACTATGTTTACACTATAGCCTTATATATATAATTATTTGGGGCTAAAATACAATTGGAATTAAATATGGTATTTTTTTATTGGCATGCTAGTCAAATTTCATATAATTGCTACTGTACAAATTTATTTACTTTAAAAAATATTCTGATACTGTTCCAGTCACTAATTTGGCATTGCTGATTAACCCAATAGATTTCCCAAGATTATCTATTTATTCTTTGGCTGATTTCATTTCTGTCTTTTTTATCCACTAAGGGTATGAATCCCAACTGAGTTAATTGGATAAGCTATTAGTACGATCTAAACCTGATTTTTAAATTTATTATACTTGCCATTTTCTTCAGTGTTATTTCTACTAAATCTTTAATTCCTTCATCGGGATCTTCCTCTGATGGTTGTTTTAGCAGACTGTTCTTTAGCATATGGAACATTTCCTCTCGTGAAATATATCCATCACCATTCAGGTCATAAACCTCAAAGCAATCTTTAAAAGGTATAATAACTACGTTAACTGCATGCATGTCAAAATACCTTCCAGATAATTGAAAACAACTAAATTGTAGTTAAAGAAAGAAACCAATTTTGTAATAAATTAGACTAAATATATTGTACAGTATGTATAGAATAGATTACAATATAGTTATTTTTATAATATATTTCATAATGAATTTGCCCTAAAATTCAGATTAATATGAAAATAATTTTTACTAGAAAAATGTTACATTTCATTTTTTCTTCCAAAGTCCCTCGAAGAAATATTGATAAGCCTTCTACCCATTCTGTTACACTGATACAGCTGTCATTGTCTTTGTCAAAAGCACGGAACACTGAAGGAAAAATAAAGATTATTCTAAAGTTTTATTTTAATTGGCATTTGTATTAAAATGATTTTTCTTTTGTATGAACATTGTCTATACCTATGTATGTGGTCAATGTCTGAATGTCTAAGACTGGACAACACAATAAAAGTAGTGAAACAGTAATCCCAAAATATAGTAATCTCTAAAGTTGTAACATCGCATCATAAAATCTCATAAATATATCTCAAATATCAAGCAGTTGAAGCCAGTCCTAAAATCAGACATCCCCTAAGTAACTCTTCCAATACCTCTGCAAAATAAGACTATATTCATAGTCTTTCATGTTTGAATCAAAGTTTCTGATACGGTATGAAGATCCACCATTCAAATCTGACTGAATCTCAAGTTCCTGGAAAATTTAAAAAAGCAATTTCATAACGTTTAAACATAGTGCAAAACGGTTGAATATAGTCAGTGCTTAGAAGGGAGATCACTAGAAATGAAAGCCCAGGGCTGTGGGCTAGACTGGAAAGTTGAAAAATATCCCAGAAATCAGTAGCAAATCTTTTCCATATTGAGTCATATGGAAGTCTCGAGTGAAACTCAACTCCAAGGAGGTTTTATATTTTACATCATATATTGTCCTACACAGTGTACATCAGTGGTGGGTTTCAAAAATTTTTACTACCGGTTTTGTGGGCGTGGCTTGGTAGGCATGGCAGGGGAAGGATACTGTAAAATCTCCATTCTGTCCCCAATTCAGGGGAAGGTTACTGCAAAATCCCAATTCCTCCCGATCAGCTGGGACTTGGGAGGCAGAGAATAGATGGGGGTAGGACCAGTTAGAATTTTTACTACCGGTTCTCCGAACTACTTAAAATTTCTGCTACCAGTTGTCCAGAACTGTTCAGAACCTGCTGAAACCCACATCTGGTGTACATGCTGTAAATAAATTGATTGATGTCCAAAGTTAGCTTATATATCTATAGTTGAAGCATTTTTAGATCTTTATTAAAATTAAAATTTGCAATTCTAGCTCTGCATCAATATAAATAGTACTACAAATATTATACTAGAGCTATTGCTATTTATTACATACTGCTATTATGTGGGGACATTAAAAAGGCCAAATGATGCAGTAACCCAAATACTACAAGGATCAAGTAATATTATCAACAGACCTCAGTATGCAGGAGAATAAATCCTACTCAAGGCTTATTAATTATGAGCAATGAATCATGTTAAGTAAAACATGAATTTGAACTTACATGCGATTTTCAAACTTCATGAACGTATTACCCAACATAGAAATGTGAATTAGAATTGTGTTTGCTAAAAATTGGAAAAATGAGAAAATACCAACGCAAGATGAAGTTATTAAGAAAATAATGGAATGTGCTGAAATGAACAAATTGACATTTGAAATTGGGGAACAAGAAGATAAACAATATTATAAGATATGGGACTTATTTTATCAATGGTTAGATAAAAAAATATGGAAATGAGATGATAGAGATCTTTATAATGCAAGAATTGTAGAATTATATAAAATATAACAAAGATGTATTATTGGATCAATTTAGGATGATGAAACGAATGTTATAAATTAACTCCAATTTTAGAATATTTTGTACAAAATGAGAGAATACCTATAGTCAAATAAATGATTAATGAGAATAATAACACATAGATATATATTAGATCGATAATATGAGAATTTAGGTAAACTGTAAGCTATGAATATGGTGAAGATGCACAAAAGACCTGTAACCAACTGACACACATTGTGTAATTGAAGATAGTTTTATGTTTGTATGTATGTTTTGTTTAAAAATTCAAAAAAAATGTTTTCAAAACTGCAATCTGAAACAGCTTCTCAAAAATACTTTAAAATACAGTAATTCATGAGCATCGATTTAATCTCACCTCTGTCCATAATCATGTCATCTGTCATTCCAAATGTCACGTGTAGAATATTGCGAAATGAGTTGCGATCTAAACCAACAATAGCATGACGGTCGCTGGGTTCCACATCCAGGTTGTTGAAAAGTTTTATGAGACATTCCACTTCAAATTTATTAACTGCAAAAGGAAACAGTGAGACAAAAGCTACAATGAAAGTTGCATTTGTCCACCAGCCAATGTAAATTTGAATATGTATCTCTCTCTCTCTCCGGTTCTCTAATGTTGCCATTCTGGGTTACACCGCTGATAAGGGATTCTGGGAGTTGTAGTTTCAAGCCTCTCTGGGTGGAAAGCTGGATCTTATTCCGGTCGGGATAATAATAATAATAATAATATAAAAACAATTGTCACTGATCGGTTAATGAACTCAAGAGCAGCTGAGTTTAAAGAGGTACAGAAGAAAGAGTAGACCCAACTTTCACTCACAATGTTTCGCGGATTTGCACAGGGACTCGGTAAGTTTCTGCAGCTTCTTTCTGTTCATTTTGAGCTTTCTGGCTCCCGGCTGAGCCCGGTTGTCACAAGCCAAGCTGTTTCCATGGCAACAACAGGGAATTGTTGCCGCCGGGCCCCGGATGTAAACGAGCTTAAAGGCAGCTGTTATGCCGGAGTAGCAAGTTCCGGGGCTTTTTGTTATTATTTATGTTTTGTGGGAAGACAAAACCCGGCTTTGGGGCTGTCGTTCCTCTGGTTTTCCATAAGGAGGAATAGAATAGAAGTGGAAGGTAACAATATGGGTAACAGTAACAGAGTTAGAAGGGACCTTGGAGGTAATCTAGTCCAGCCCCTGCTCAAGCAGGAGAACCTATACCATTTCAGATAAGTGACTGTTTAGTCCAGTGTTTCTCAACCTTGGAAGCTTGAAGATGGGTGGACTTTAACTCCCAGAATCCCCCAGCCAGCGCTGCTGGCTGGGGGATTCTGGGAGTTGAAGTCCACCCATCTTCAAGCTACCAAGGTTGAGAAACACTGGTCTAGTCTATTCTTAAAAACCTCCAGTAATGGAGTGCCCACGATTTCTGGTGGCAAGCAGTTCCACTGGTTAATTGTCCTCAGTATTAACCCTTAATTCCAGGTTGCTTCACTCTTTGGTTAGTTTTCAACCATTGTTTCTTGTCCTGCCCTCTGGTGCTTTGGAGAATAATTTGACCCCCTCTTCTTTGTTGGCAAGCCATCAAATACTGGAATACTAATACTAATACACTAATACTAACAACAACAACAACAACAACAACAGAGTTGGAAGGGACCTTGGAGGTCATCTAGTTCAACCCCCTGCTCACGCAAGAGACCTGTACTAGGGATTCGAACACCAAACTGCCAACCTTTCTGATCGACAAGCTCAGCGTTTCTGCCACTGAGCCACCTAGCTTCTCAAGACTGCTATCATGTGCCCCTAATTTTTCTTTTCCTTAGACTAGCCAAACCCAGATCCTGCAGTATTTCTTCATATGTTTTACTCTCTGGGCCTTTGATCATCTTAGTTGCTCTTTTCTGAATTTTTTCCAAAGTCCCAACATCTTTTTTGTAGTATGGTGACCAAAATTGAGGAATTCCAGGCCAGAAGGGAGAGGCAGAAAATAGGGCGCTCCAATCTCCCCTGGGTGGACCTTTTGCAGAGATTTGAGGCAAAGGCATTTTCTGCATGGAACTGCAAGCAAACATAAATGGAAGATTTTAAAAAATGGTTATACCAGGTAGTCCTCAGCTTACAACAGTTCATTTAGTGACCATCTGAAGTTACAATGGCACTGAAACAAACCTATGACTGTTTTTCACACTACCATTGCAGCATCCTCATGGTCACACGATCAAAATTCAGTTACTTGGCAACTGTTTCATATTTATGATGGTTACAATGGCCCATGTTCATGTGGTCACGTTTTGCGACCTTCTGACAAGCAAATTCGATGGGAAAGAGAGATTCACTTGACAACCATCTTACTAATTTAACAACTTCAGTGATACGCATAACAATTATGGCAAGAAATGTAAAATGGGGCAAAATTCACTTAACAATCTCGCTTAGCAACATAAATTTTGGGCTCAGTTATGGCTGTAGGTTAAGGACTACATGTAATTAGGAAAGAGCTTCATCACTTCACAACCTTCTCGGTAAGATAGAAAAATGTGGGATAGACAAAATCACTACCAGATGGCTTTGTAACTGGCTGACCAACTGCACTTAGCATGTAACCCTCAATGAAAGTACATTTACATGAAGGGAAGCATGCATTGGGGAACTCCAGGGTTCTGTCTTAGGCCTAATACTCTTCAACATCTTCATAAACAATTTAGATGAGAGGATAGAAGAGGAATTCATCAGATTTGCAGATGACGCCAATCTGGGAAGAATAGCCTACAGTTAAGAAGAGGAATTTTCATAGATACTGGGCCCTGTCCAACAAAATGCAAGTCAGTGGTGAGAAAAGTAAGATTTTACACTTAGGTAAGAAAAACCAAATCACAAGTATAGAATAAATAGTATGTGGCTCAACAGTGGTAACTATGAAAGGGATGTTTTGGGGTACGATGCCATCTGTACGCTGATGACACTCAGCTGTACATCTCCACCCCAAACCACCCAATGATGCCCTCGAAGTGATGTCCCAGTGTCTGGAGGCTGTGCAGGTCTGGATGGGGAGGAACAGGCTTCGACTCAACCCTTCCAAGTCCGAGTGGCTGTGGATACCGGCGTCCCGATATAGCCAGGTGGTGCCATCGCTGGCTATTGGGGGTGAGTTACTGACCCCCACAGAGGGGGCTTGCAACTTGGGTGTCCTCCTGGACACACGGCTGTCTTTAAAAGAGCATATGATGGCCGTGGCCAGAGGGGCTTTTTATCAGGTCCGCCTGATACGCCAGTTGCGCCCCTTTCTGGATCGGGACTCCTTGTGCACGGTCACTCATGCCCTCGTCACGTCACGCGTGGACTACTGCAACGCTCTCTACATGGGGCTCCCCTTGAGGAGTACCTGGAGGCTCCAGCTGGTGCAGAATGCAGCCGCGCGGGTGATTATGGGAGCGACATGGCGCTCCCATGTAGCACCTCTCCTGCGCGAACTGCATTGGCTCCCGGTGGTCTTCCGGGTGCGCTTTAAGGTATTGGTTCTCATCTTTAAAGTGCTCCATGGCTTAGGGCCAGGATATTTGCGAGACCGCCTGCTGCTACCAATAACTTCCCACCGGCCAATACGCTCTCACAGAGAGGGCCTCCTCAGGGTGCCGTCGGTCAGGCAATGTCAGCTGGCGGCCCCCAGGGGGAGAGCCTTCTCTGTGGGAGCACCCACCCTGTGGAACGAGCTGCCTCCTGGAATATGACTGATCCCGGATCTCCGTACCTTCCGTAAGGCCCTGAAGACATATTTATTCCACCAAGCCGGCCTAGCCTAAATGGTTCTTAATTGGGATTTAAAATTTTATAGACTTGGGGGTTTTAAATTGGGAAGCCAATGATTTAATTCTTTTTAATTATCTTAACTTTTGTATTGTATGTATTTTTAATTTTGGCTGTTCATCGCCCTGAGTCCCTTCTGGGAGAAGGGCAGTATACAAATTAAATTAATAAATAAATAATAAATAAATGTATGTAGGAGTTCTAGTGGACAACTCCTTAAATATGAGCCAGAAGTGTGCTGTAGTGCCAAAAAAGCCGATGACAATGACAGATATCCATCTAAACCAGCTGTTCCCAATTGTTCAGCTCATCCTTTTTATGAAGTTTAAGTGTTCATCAACCCTCAAGCATGTATTATACGAAAATAATTTTTAAAAGTCCATTTTAATAATATGAATAATAATAATGAGCCCTTGGATGTTTTCATTTACTCTTGGAGGTCAATAGTGACATTTTGGAGAACCTAATCTAACAGTTAAATGTGAATTGAGCTTGAAGCTTGATGATTACATGAACCATGCTTTGGCATCAATATGATGTCTGCTATCCCCATTTTTGGGATATTTTATATACAGTATTAACAATTTTTGCAAAACTATGCATTACTCTAAAATTCACAGGGCCAAAGGAGACCTTGCACATCCACTCTTAAATAAGTACCAGAAATGATAACTTCATCCAAAATTCCTAAAGTATTTTATTTTACTTTGTAATGTAAAATGAAGGAGCTTGTCAATAATGAAACAAAACTCTCATCAAGCTTACACAAAGCTTTAGAATGCCCAAAAACATTGTTTACTTATAGCATGCTTGTAAGAATTAAAAGTGTTATGAAATAAATAATAACTACAAAATTATTTGTTCCATTGATTAATAAAATTTGCAACCAAGTTCTGATCAAAGAATTTGCGTAGCTTTTTAATAGGAGATTCCTACAGTACAGACTCAATTATTATTTTTATTTTCATTATATTTTACGTAGTCAGTGAACTGGAAGATACAAGTTTATTGTCTCTGAATGTCTGTGGAGATTTTCGGTCATCCAGGTCATGGTTGTCCCAAAGGTGCTTTTTCAAGAGGCAACTGGATTTTCTGTTTTTTTCTTTAAGACGTTTCACTTCTCATCCAAGAAACTTCTTCAGCTCTGACTGGATGGTGAGGAATGGAAGGATTTATACTCCTTGCAGATAGCTGGTCATCTGCATTCTATGACCAACTTTCTGCAAGGAGTATAAATCCTTCCATTCCCCACCATCAGAGCTGAAGAAGCTTCTTGGATGAGAAGTTAAATATCTTCAAAGAAAAATCAGAAAGTCTTTTATTGTCTCTGTTAAATGGAAATCAGTCCATGCAAGAACAATCAAGACCAATTTATTTCCAGTGTTTTAGGTGGGTATAAACAGAAGCGTGTGCAGATCTGGATTTATTAAATCTTCATGCAGAATTATATTCTTGGTATAACAAACCAGTTCTACCCGGGTATCCAGGATATGCTATACACACTTCTATTACAGCATTTTTATTAAAGCTGGTATCTAAAATAGATACACATGGTGTATTTACACTGAAATTATTTTACAGAAAAAGAAAAAAAATCAAGTCACATAACATTCAAAAACTGTATTAAAACCGGGATATAAAACTCAAAATCCAATTAAAATGTCATATCTGAAGCTGAAGCTAAAACCAATCGTATGTAACTGAAGCTCTGTGTCCAACCATGTTAAATTTAGAAAAAAATGTAATGTTTTAACAGTAAATTGCAGCAATTTGTTCTTTATGTTTAATATAAATGTGTAAATGGAACAGATATTATGGCACCTTAACAAACCATATGAACTTTTTCATTAAAATGGTCTTGAGTTGTATCACATATATAACCGGGTGGTTTTTTATCATGCTTCAGAAGAATTACCATTAGAACTGGTACTATCACCTCCTGACAATAACTCTGCAGGAAATTAGGACTCTGTCTTTGAAGAATCATCTAATTGGCTTATATTTGCCTTTTTAGTTTTACTCATCTTAAGATCCATTGTGTTACTCCACAGATGCTCTTGTGCAATCCACTTTGAAATTGATATGTCTTAGGTTAGGGATTTTATCTTCAACCATTTAACTGAAATGTCTTTCTCCATGCTTGGATATTTCTCTTGAGTTTTCCATGTATTCAGTAAAATGTCTCTGCCCTCTTTTTTTTTTTTTAATATATTTTTATTATAATTTTCTTTTTCAAAATTCCAATACATATTTGAACAGACAGTGTCATTTTTTTCCCAAAAGACAGGTTGGATTAGTTATTCATGTAAACTCTACTTTATATATATATATCTTCAACCTTCTTCTAGACATTATCTATTTTTATTTCGGTTATCAATCCACCTATACCATGTATCCCACACCGCATAGTATTCTGAATCCTCTTTCTTTTAATTCTAAAGTTAATTTGTTCATTTCGGTACATTCAAATATTTTTTGAATAATTACCCCCTCTGGTGGTACATTATTTCCTTTCCAATATTGTGCATATGCTATTCTCGCTGCTGTAAGTATATGTAAAATCAAGTATTTTATTTTTTTATCGTATTTTGTTTTTAGTATACCCAGGAGAAATGTTTCTGGGATTAATTTGATTTTATTATTAATTAATTCTTGTAACCAATGTTGTATGTTGCTCCAATACCTCTTCGCTTCAGGACGTAGCCACCACATATGAAAGAAGGTACCTTGGTGGTGATTACACTTCCAACACTTAGGGCTTAAGTTTGGATACATTTTCGCCAATCTTGCAGGCGCTAAATGCCACCGATATAGCATTTTATATTGATTTTCCTTGTATGCTGCTGATTTTGTGAATTTATAATTTTTATTCCAAATTAATTCCCATTCATCTAAATTTATGTTGTGCCCTATATTTTTGGCCCATGCGATCATTGGTTCTTTTACCACCTCCTCCACTCTATCAAATTCTAATAAGTAATTATATAGTCTAGATATTAATTTTCTTTCCGGGTCCACCAACAATTTATCTAATTGATTTAATTCTACCTCAATACCAAATTCTTCCATATCCTTCTTGTATCTGGACTGTATTTGTATATATGGCCACCAATCGATAGATATTCTCCGCTCTTTTAAAACCTGGTTACTTTTGAGTTTTCCATGCTTGTCTAAAATTTCTTTATATCTAATCATTTTACTAATCTCTATTGTGTTGGGGTGGATCATGGCTTCCATAGTTGATAACCAGCTCAGGATTTTCATATACTGCTTCCTCCTTTCTTCTTCCCATATTCGTATTACTCTGGTTTCTTTTCAGATCGTATAAATCTTTCGTCTCTGTCCTCCTAATGTGTGCCTTGGTCTGATGTTTTTTTTCTTTTAGAGCTTTCTGTGGGGTTTGACTTCTGATTGCCTCTTCCAAGCATATCAACTGCAGATAACTTGAGACACAGTTTTAATCTGTCTGGAATCTTGAGTCTTCATCATGTTGGTTCCTGTTTGATAGATTCACTTCTTATTGATGAAATCATACTTAAACAGTTCTTTGCTATATTGATTGTTTCCAGATCCCCAAGAACCCTGTATGAAATGGAAGGGTTAAAAAGAAACCCATTGTAAGGATTATATTTTTAAAAATAACCATAGCTGTGGTTTGCAATATTTTCTTTATGAATTTTCAAATGCAAAATTCTATTGATGTAAAACTGAGTTGTATAGCTATTATCTGTCACCATATAATATATAATTGATATACTATGGTGTTAGAAAAAATTTGTGCAAAACGGTTTTGCACAAATTTGTTCCAAAACCATAGCATATCAATTACATAGGCCATGGTTTCTCAACTTGTGGTTTAGAACCCTGCAGGAAGGCTTACCCAATATTAATGCAAGGTTTTTACAAACCTAATAAGCCTTGCCTATCCAGAGCTAGACTGCTGTCAGAACCTGCACTTTGCTACACTAATCCTTTTGGGCAGCTACACTGATACATTTTTTAAAAACTTACAATCATTTATCATTTGTAAAAACACAGTTGGGTATAGTGAA